GAAAAAAACAAAAAAAAAAAAAAAAAAAAGAAGTCCGATAATGCCAAGTATTTTAGAGATAAACAATGGGAAAGTGGGAAAGTAAATCATTTCCACCGCTTTGGGAAATGGTTTGGCCTCATCTGGTAAAGCTGCAGATGAGCGTCGATGACTCAGCAGGCACGTGACCTCCAGAAACAGGCACCTGTGCCTGGGACGCAGGAGGGGGACAGAGGAAGGGGACAGTCACAGCAGCCTTGCTTGCCAAGGGCAAATCGGGAAATGCCCAAAGTCCCTAAACAGGCAGAACTGGAGAAATACACTGTGGTCCGGGAAACAGTGGAAAAGTACACAGCAGTGTCAAAGAATGAGGTACAGCAACGACGTGGGTGACTTTTGTGAACGTGATGTGCACCCAAAGAAGCCAGACACATGAGGGCACACGCCGATTCGACTTCGGTACAGTTCAAAAACAAGCCACACTCAACTGTCATCAAGGGATGTGTACATGGTGGCAAAACCATAAAGAAAAGCCGGTCACAGTCATAAGTCAGGGCAGCAGGGACTTCTGGCAGAGGGAGGGGTTGTGCATGGGAAGGAAGCTTCTGGAATCCTGGCCATGGTCTGTTTCTTGATCAGAGCGGTGGTGACATGGGAGTTCATTTTATATTTATACTTATTTGTAACACAGCACAAATATGCCTCATGCACTTTTCTGTATGTGCGTTATATTTCACAATTTTATAAAACAAGTGTGTCTGAGCACCCACTGTGCTGGCACAGGGGTGGGCCCTGCCCCTGGCGCCCACCGTCATCAGCTACTGGAGTGAGGGGGCCCGTTCTGTAGCCTCCCCTTGGCCTCAGCAGCACGGGGTCTCCACAGCTCCCATAACCTCAAGCCCCCCGTAGTCAGTCTGCAGATCCCGCCACTCTACGCCCAGTGGGGTGCAGCCCCCACGCCCCCACTCTGCTCTCCGTTCTCTCCTGGTCTCCCACCCTCAGGGAACATCATTTGGATTTCCCCCCTTCTCAGTGGGAACCTTTCCCTCCCCAGCAGAGGGGCTCCCAGTGGGAGAGGCTCAGGGACTTGAAGAAGCCCACCTCCCACTATCCCCACAGCACACATGGCCTTGACGTGGGGTGGCCCTCACTGCCGTGCCCAGCCAGGCCCCAGGCCCACGCCCTGCCCTTTGCCACTTGCCCCCAGCTGGGCACAATGGCCATGGTGCAGACGGCTCTCCCCTGACTCCCAGGCTACTGGGTCTGGGCCTAGGTCAGCGTCCTAAAGGTCCCGCGGGCTCAGGGCCAAGGGCATAGGAGGGAAAGGACATGCCCCCCACCCCCCCAGGTGGCCGCTATCGCTCTGATCTGCCGCCTGCCCTTATCTCCGCAGCGGGCCAGCTCCGGGTTCCCAGCAACAGCCTCCCCGCCGCGCAGCTCACTTCCTGCCCGCGGCCCCTGGTGAGCACATGTGAGCGCGGGCACACCCGGGGCACGGCCTGAGCCCCTCAGGTCTGCTCCCCACCACCCTGGGAGCGGCAAGTAGACGTTTCCGGAAGGCCTGGGAGGGGGCGATCCTGAAGACAGAGGCTGTTCTCCTGAAACCCTATGCAGGGCTCCTTGTCCCCCTGCACAGGGGGCCTCACTCTGGGGGGCCCAGGGTCGAGGGAGACTGGACCATGTGTCCCTCCCTCGGCAGTCATTCAACTGGTGTTTACCTCAGGACACACCAAGGCACAGAGCGTCCCAATGACCCCCGCTTGCTTAGAGCATTGGTCAGATGGACAAGTCAGAGGAGTGACACGTAGCTGTGACCCGCCAGCAGTGGGAGGAGGAGATACGGGCATCCCAGAAGGGGGGCCACATCCCTCCCCTGCTGGGCTGGGGCCAAGGGGCTTCTGGAGGAAGAGGTGTCACAGCTGAGACATGGAGACACAGAAGGTGGCGGCCGGGGACACATGCTGATGGTTGGGGGGTTTCCGGGCAGAAGGAATGCAGGTGCAGGGATCCGGAGGTGGAAGAAAGAGGCTGGCACGTTGGGGAACAGAAATGTCACAATTGGGCTGGAGTGTGGCGAGGGGACTGGAAGGCAGGAGGGGCTGGATCCCACAGAGCCCAGGACAGCGGGGCAGAGGTGGAGCTTAGACGTGTGGGAGCAGAGGCCAGCTACAGTCAGGTCAGCCGAGCGGCTGCCATGAACAGGTGGCTGCAGGGCCAGTCCCCGAGGCTGGGGAACCTGCCAAGCCCAGGCGAGAGCAGTGGCCATGGGGGGCGAAGGGAGCAGCTGGCACGGGGAGGCAGGGCAGGCCTGCATGGGGGCAGGAGGCGACCCCGTGACCTCCGCTGATGGTAACTCTCCTGCTGAGAATTACACACAGGCCAGGAGAGGAGGAGGGAGGCAGGAGAGCGCAAGCACAGCTGGCTCTCGGGGGCTCTGGACTTCCCACCCGGCTGACCAACAGGACCACTCAGACCTCAGGTGCAGCCAGGGACACACCCATGCGCACACCCACACATGCCTGCATGAACCCAGACGGCCCCCTAAGGCCAAGTCTTGGCGAGAGGGTCTCCCCCAAACATGCCTCACTACTCCCAGAGGCCCCCAACCTTCTTCGGGGATGGCCCACCCTCTTTGCTCCCTCCATACAGCCAGACACCACTGGGCGAGGCGGGGCTAGCCCAGGTGTCCTGGGGACCAGGTAGGAGGACCTGGCAGAAGGAAACTCCATTCTGCACCAACCTCCCCCAGGAAGAGGCCACCAAAGCTCTGCTTTCGAAGGAGAAAGGCCCCACTTAGTGGCCAGCTGTGTCCCCAGCCTCTCTGCTCAGTCCCCTCCCCCAAGGCTGCTGTGAGGACTAGGAGTGAGGCTGCAGGCAGGAGGCTTTGCAACCATGAAGTGCCTGCAAACAGGAAGCTCCTGTGGTGCTGCCATGGCTGGGGGGAGCCTGGGATCTGTCCCTTTGTCCGTGCTCCCCTGAGAGCGGCTTCCACCCCCTGGCCGGCCGGCCCATCCACCTCCCTTCCTCCCCACAGAGGCCTCTGCTCCCGCCCCTCACTTCCCAGCAGGAGGGCTGGAGCCAGACAGTGAGATAAGGGGCTTGTTTTCCAAGGGCCTGGAATTCAGTGGAGATTGTGGGTCAGGGCCAGAGGGGCCCCATGGTGGGGGAGGGCAGTGAGCCTTTCCAACACATGGACGTCCTTGGGGCCACAGACCCTACAGGGACTTGAGATTTCTACCCCTCCAGCATGGCCCGGCCAGGCAGAAGGGGGGAGGGGGAGAGCCCCTGAGAGGTGGCCCCCACCCTGCATGTAGCTGTTGGGCTCCGTCTCCACCCCTGCTCACCTCTCCAGCCACACTGGACTTTGTTCGGGACCTTGAGCTCGCCAGCTCCCCCTACAGTCACCCATGCTGTTCCTCTGCCCAAAGCACTGTCCCCTCTGCTTTGCCTGGTCACTGCCCTGCTCTGTCTTCAAAGCTCAGCCCGATCTCTGCTTCCTCCAGGAAGCCTGCCCTGCTGCCACAACCAGCTTCTCCCTCCCTGCGCTCCTCTCTGGGTAGCGTCCTGGCCCCCACCCCTCAGACCTGAGCTCTGCAGCCTCCATCTGCTCTCCTTAAGTCCCCAGACCCGACCTGGAGCTGGCAGGTGGCAGAGGCGTGGCCAGTGTCTGATGCAGGATGAGTGTCCTCTTCACTGAGGGATGTCCTCACCAGACACTGGGGCCTCTGTCCTGCTGTGGCCCCTCTCGGGCCAACTTTCTACTGTGGGAGACAGATGACACCTGTGGCCCACACTCCAGGAAGGGGAGCTGCTGATTGGCGCTGGGTACCTGTCCTCCCTGTGTGAGGGAAGGTCACCTCCGGGTCCGGACTGAGCCACAATACACCCCACAGCAGCAGCACCAGGTCCTGGAGCCCCAGGGCTCCAGACTGTGACCAGTGACGACAATGACAACAACAGCAACAGCAGCAGGAACGCGTCTATAGTGCTCACCATGAGTCAGGTGTCTGGGTCTGCACTAAACACATTCAGTCATTGAATCCCCACAGTGGCCCACTTTGCAGTTGTGGAAACAGAGGCATATAGAGGTTACGTGGCTTGTCTACGTCCACTCAGCTGGTAAGTGGGGGACCTGAACTTCAAACGCAGGCAGTTGGTGCCTGTCTTAGTCTATTTTCTCTTGCTATAACAGAATACCACAGACTGGATAATTTATAAAGAAAATAAGTTTATTAAGCTTACAGTTCCAGAGGCTGAGAAGTCCAGGAGCATGGTTCTGGCATCCGGCGAGGGCCCTCTTGCAGCATCGTGATGTGGCAGAGGACAAGAGCATGACAGGAGCATGCACGTGAGCTCAGGTGTCACTAGGCCCCTACTGGGACCCCACCCCGATGACCTTATCTAACTTTAATTACCTTTCAAAGGCCATACCTCCAATCAAGATATGAATTTAAGTCAGATTTAAGTCCCACCCTTTTAAAACCGTCTCAATGGCAACAAATTTCAACACATGAATTTTTGGGAGACACACTCAAGTCACAGCAGTGCCCGTCACCACTTCCCTGCCTCCATGCAAGCAGCCCACCCTCGAGGGCAGGGGTGTTTGCAGAAAGGGGCTCTCTATGTGCCCCTTTAACTCTGTCTCCCATTATGCCCCATGAGGCCATGTGCTCAGACCCAGTTGCAGCCATCTAGGTGTCCCCTGCCTGGCATCTGACAATACCTGGCACACAGCAGGTGCTCAACAAATCCATAGTGAAACAAGTAATCGATTGGGAAACTACTTTTTAGGAGCGACGTAACACAGTGGTTCAGAGGTGGAGTCTGGAGACAGGCGGCCCCGGCCCCGACCAGATCCTTCTGACATGCCCTCAGGTATGTTCGTCAGCTTCTGGTGGCTCGGTCCCCATCTGTAAAACAGGGATAATAATGGCACTTGTCTCCTAGAGCTGTTGGAAGCCTTAACTGAGTTAACATTTGTAAAGCGCCTGGGCAGTGCCTGGTACACGGTTGGAGCCACGGGAGCGTCAGCTCCATAAAAGCCTGCCCGGCCTCGGTTTCCCCTTCAGTAAGCAGAACCCTCCTGCTCCAGCATCGCGGGTTCGCGCAGCATCAGCCGCGACGTGGCGCGAACTACAACCCCCATCGTGCAGCGGGGGCCCGCCCGGGCTCGCGCATACCCGCCTCTATGTAGCGCGAACTACAACTCCCAGCGTGCCGCGGGGCCCGCCCGGTCCAGGTCAGCAGCGACCGAAGTCCTGCAGCGCAGACCCCGCAGCTCCGGGCCGCCCTTGCCGGGAAGGAGAGGGGGCCGCAGCTCCTGTCGGGGTGGGGAGCCGGGCGCTGCCCCCGCCATGCTCCACGGACTGGCCCGGGCCGCGGCCCCGGGACTCGGGGCCCTCTGGGCGCGGGGGTCTGGGAGCCGGGCAGGGGTCCCGGCCCACGTGGTGGATCTGCGCAGCGACACGGTGACCAGGCCCGGGCCGGCCATGAGGCGCGCCATGGCCGAGGCAGTCGTGGGGGACGACGACTACGGCGAGGACCCCACTGTCCGCGGTGAGCCCGGCGTACAGGCCCGGGGCGGGGGTCGCTGAGCTGACCCCAGAGCGCTGTCCGTGGTGCTGGCGGGGAGGGGTGGCCCGGGACTCAGGGGTGTGGCTCAGCGGGCACTTAATGAGCACCTGCCGCAGGCCAGGCCCTGTGCTCTGCGTGCCTGCTGCCCAGCCTGGCCCATCACCTGGGGCTTGTTGGGAATGCAGGTTCTCGGGCCCCTCTCCGGGCCTGCAGAGCCAGAGTCTGCATTTTAACAGGATCCCCAGGTGATTTATGTGCACGTGGCATTATCAGCCCGCTGCCCCCTGAGATGGGTGTTACCCGTCTTGCAGAGGAGGGCCCTGAGATGCTGAGAGAGGCGCTCAAGGTCCCACACCTAGTAAACGGCAGAACCAAGGTTCTGGCTCTTAAACCCATAACTAGTCTCCTGCACCCACTGCCTTCCCCCATGAAGACAAACAGAAAGTCGATCCGGAAGAGAGGGTTCCCCACAGGCTGCACCTCCCAAGGGAATGTTTTCAAATACAGTGACCTCCCACCCCCACCCCGGGTTGAGTTGCAGCCATAGTGAGCCACTGTTACTGCTGGGGTGTGTGCAGCCCTCAGCTGGCACGGGGACAAACCACGACTCGACACTTGAACCCCGAGGGGCCTGTCCGTGGGGCCAAGTGGTCGTTGGGACTGATCATGCATCCAACAGACACCCGCTGTTGCGGGAACTTAAAAGATGCTCAGCCCATGGCTCGGCGGGCAGCCTGCTGCGTAAACAAGTCACCACCATGTGGGTGTGGGAGGTGCTCCAGTTGACAGGGTCTATGGAGGGTGCCTTGGGAACCAGGGAGTGCAGAGACGCGTGTGGATCACAGGGAAGAGGGACTTTGCAGAGGAGCCCCCCTACAGGATGAGTGGAAGCCACCCAGGTAGGCAAGGGAGTGCTGGCTCACCAGGCAAGGGAACTTCAGAAGCATATGTGTACTGGTGAGAAAGGTGTTCAGGATACAGGTAGGGGGTGTGGCTGGAGTGTGGGGTACAGGGGCCACCCCATCCCTGGAGGGGGAGTCAGAGGCCAGATTATGCCAGCCTTGAATATCATGCCAAGGACTTTGGACTTGATGCTACAGTCAGAGAAGGGGGCCCAGCGGGTTTTAAAGCAGGAGCCAGGAGCTCCACTCACCCTCCAGCTGCACCCTCCGGTCCCCTCCAGCGCCCCCCCACCCCCACCCTACCGAGTCTCCCCTCCTGTGGGGGAGAGGAAGTCAGCAGAGAAACCGCAGGGCCCCGCCTGAGGGGGCTGATGGGAAAGGAAGACAGGTGTGGTCCGGGTGGGACAGGGGTTCAAGCCACAAGAGTTTCAGTAGGGGGAGGTCAAGGAGGAGGGGATGCAGAGAGTTGACTGAAGGGCCTGTGGACCCGGATGTGCGGTTGCCAAGACCACAGACTGTGCAGCTGGCACACGGGCTCCAGCTCCAACGGCCAGTCACCTCAGCCTCAGGCCAGGTGCTCTCATCCAAAGGAACTGGCTCAGGACAGGCTCTGGCGCGTAATGAGCAGCACAGGACAGCACTTTGAGCGGTGCCAGGTGCCGTGAGCGCACACTGATAGCACCTTCCCTGCCTGCCCACCTTCCTCTTCCTCAGAGCTGCAGGAAAAGGCTGCAGAGCTGCTTGGCGTGGAGCGGACTCTCTTTGTGCCCTCCAACACCATGGCCAACCTCATCTCTGGTGAGCACAGGTGACTCTGTCTCCCCTCCGCTTCCTCAGTGCACACTTGGCCCTCTGTGTGGGGGCTGTGACATTCGTGGACAACGTTTCTGGCTTTCTGTTGGGTTCGACCCTTGGGGAGCCTGGGCAGGAGATGGGAAGGGCTGAGAGTGAGGTCAGCCTGTGTGTGCTCCTCCCCCACGACTCCTCGAGGGTCTCCCTCGGCCACAGCTGGCTCTGGGTTCTTGTAGCCGTGCCTTCCCTCACCCCTAGAGGCTTGTCCTTGTGGTTTCCCTACCCCCGCCTCACCTTTGCAAACCATCCCGTTATTAAACACTCTTCCAGTTTCCCTGTGTGCATGTGCCATCTGTTGCCTGCCAGGCCTGGTGGGTGCTGGTGCCCTGGGCTGCTCGTCCCCTGAGGGGCAGTGTCATGGCAGCCTCTCCGTGCAGGAGGTGTTCTGCAGGTGGGGCCTCAGGGCACGGCTGTGCGTGGCCCAGCGATTCACAGCGTGGCCATCCTAGATGTGTGTATTTAGTGGGACGGTTTCCAGCATATGCAGTAAGGTGTCTCAAAGGGGTGCTGTTTCCTAATGGGCATGAGGCACTTGTGAGCTAGCTGTGGCCCTGGGGCTCAGCCTGGCCAAGCTGGGCAGGGTCAGATGGGCCCCCTCAGACTCAGTGCCAAGACCTACCCTCCTCCCCCATCTGTCTCAGTGATGTGTCACTGCCGGCGCCGGGGCTCCCAGCTCCTCCTTGGGCAGGAGTGCCACCTCCACGTCTATGAGCAGGGCGGGGTGGCTCAGGTAAGGACCCGGCGCTGCTCACCTGGGGCCCTGGACATCTTCTACCCAGCGGAGGGTGCTCAGGTGGCAACCTGCTTCCCAGGCACCAGGCTGGGACCTGAAGAGGGGAGAAAGGGAGAGCCACGGAGAAGCTGGCTGGGATGGTGGCCTCTCCAGGGGAGGTGGGAAGGAGAGCTGGGCCCAGATTTGCCACGTGGGGGCGGCAGCGGCTCAGGCTAGCCCCAGAGACTGGGCAGACGCCTGGGCCGGTGCTGCCCCCTAGTGGGCGCCCAGAGCACTCCAGCACTGGGGCGGGAGCCCGACAGCAACATCTCAGGAGAAAACATGTGGAGGGGGCCCAGCTCCCTCCTCGGCTGGGATGTCTGTGTCCAGATGCACAGAACAGGGGAGAGGCTCTAAGCTTCAGAGCTGGGCAGGAGCAGGCACAGGACTCAGGGGTCTGGCTCCTTACTCCAGAGGAGCCCTCCACTGCACAGAGAGGTGCCGCTGGACCCCGTACCTACCTGATTCTTTGTCCCCTCCCCTACCTGCAGATCGCTGGGGTACACTCCCACCCCCTCCCGGACCTGCCCCACGGCACCCTGGACTTGGCTGAGCTGAAGAGGATGATCACTCGGGGCCATGGGAGCCCCTACCACCCGGTCTGTGAGCTCATTTGCCTGGAGAACACACACAACAGCTCAGGAGGCCGGATCCTCCCCATCGACTACCTACGCCAGGTAGGCCTGGCCCCACAGCCATCCTGCTCCTGGCTTCCTGCGTGCACTGAAGCCCCATCCTGAGCTTTAGACTCCGATGCATGTCATGCACCATCAGTGGCCAGATGGTCATGGGAGGGACACATGTGTGGTCCTGCGCTGAAAATGTAATGGAAGTTGCTGCCCCAGGCTAGGGCCCCTAGTCCCTGGCTCTCCCAAGCACAGAGCATCCCCCCACTGCCCGAGTCCCAGAAGGGAGACGTGCTGCCCAGAAAGGCTGTGGGAACCGGCACGGGTTGCGGTCCCCAGCTCTGCCTGGTGCTCACGCCAGCATGCGTGGTAGGGGGCTGCAGTGTGCCCAAGCACAGAGCATCCCCCCACTGCCCGAGTCCCAGAGGGGAGACGTGCTGCCCAGAAAGGCTGTGGGAACTGGCACAGGTTGCGGTCCCCAGCTCTGCCTGGTGCTCACGCCAGCATGCGTGGTAGGGGGCTGCAGTGTCAGGTTCTGCTGCTTGCTGTCACGAGGACTTAACCCTGTGTTCCTCGTCTGCAGAAGGAGAGCAGTAGCATCTCCCCTGTGGAGCTGTCGTGAAGCTTAAATGAGATGAGACATTTATGTCCCCGGCCCACGGTGAATGCTGGATAAGCATGAGTTATGACACCTTCCATGGAGCGTGGCTCTGAGGCTCAGGCAGCACGTGACTGCTCGGGTCCCAAATAGCCAGAGTCCATCACCAAACCATGACTCCTCATGGAGCCAAGCCCAGGGCTCCCTGGAGACCATCCTGCCCCTATCCCTCCCTTGGCCTGGCCCCTCTGACTTCCACCTGCACCTTGCCCCAGGTGCATGTCCTGGCCGGGACCTACGGGGCCCGGGTCCACCTGGATGGGGCCCGGCTGATGAACGCAGCGGTAGCGCTGGCTGTACCCCCCGCCCGCATCGTGGAGCACTGCGATTCTGTGTCTCTCTGTTTCTCCAAGGTGAGGAATCTCCTGGGCTGGCCTCCCAGAGACAGGTGGGTGGGGGTGCTCAGCAGGAGGCAAAGCGGATTCCTGGGCTGCCCTCTAACTCCTCCCCAGGCGGGGCTACAGCATCTGCCCCTTCTCGGCGGGATGCGCGCCTGGGCCAGCAGGAGTCTCCCCTCTTCCTCCAGGGCCTGGGCGCGCCAGTGGGGGCCTTGGTTGGGGGGCCCAAGGACTTCATCGAAGAAGCCTGGCGCCTCCGGAAAGCCCTGGGTGGAGGCATGCGGCAGGCAGGGGTGCTGGCCGCAGCTGCCCTGGTGGGACTGGCTGATGCGGAGGAGACGCTACTGAGGGACCACAGGAATGCCCAGAGATTCGCCAAAGGTGCCTGGACCGGTCCCTTTGCTCCCTCTGACTTGGGTCTGGGGCATGCCTGGTGGGTCCCCTGCAGCAGGGCCCAAATCCCCAGGAGGTCTGCACCCTTCGAGACTCTAGGACATTGACAGTTAGCTGCTAAGTCAAAGGGTGGGAGCCAGGGAGCTGGCTGCTTGAGCAGCGCCCGCTCAGTGCAGTGCCTGGTACGAGGACGCACTTGGCAGGTGTCAGTGATCACGATTCTGTGCAGAATCCCGCAGAGTATAGCTCCTAACCTGGGTCTTTCATCTGTTAATTGAGTCCTCACAACAACCCATGATGTCCCCACTTCACTGATGAGGAAACTGAGGTCCAGAGAGGTCAGTTGATTTGTCTAAGGCCACACGGCTAAGAAGTAGCAGGGTCAAGTCCGTGTGACTGTGGAGGAGGCCATGTCGGGACTCAGGGTCCTTACCCCCCGACCATCCCCAACACAGCTGGGCTGCTCCTCTGCCTTCCCCAGGTGACAGTGCTGGGTGGTGGGGGCAGTGGTGGGTTCCTGGGGTCCAGTCCACTCACAACAGGACCTGGCCCAGGACTCCAGGAACTGGCATCACCCATCTGTTCCGTGGACCCCAGCACTGTGGAGACCAACATGGTGATGGTGCGGGTGGACGGGCTGCCACCCGAGGAGCTGTGCCGGCACCTGCAAACCGTGAGCGCAGATGAGGTGGCCCAGACTGGCCACGCGGTGCGCGTGCTGCTCTTTCCCTGGTCAGAGCAGTCCGTGCGTGCCGTGTGGCACCGCGACGTCTCGGCGCAGGATACTGAACTGGTGCTGGGGAAGTGGAAGTTTGTGCTGAGGCAGTTGGGGCCCTGAGTGTGGGGTGACTGGGGACCCTGTGCCCTGGCTGGGATAGAAGTGGGGAGTGGAGGCGTTCCAAGCAGGCAGGCGGGAGGAGGGGCAGGAATCCACGCACCCATTGTCCTTGGACCCCTTCACTTCCTATCACACGAGGCTGACGCCCTCTATGTGTGTTCATCAGCAAACCTTGAGTGCCGCCTGTGTACAGGACAGGGCGCCCAAGGATGCAGGGGCCGGTAGGACACTGTGCCAGCCCTCTCACCACAGCCCGGGAGGCAGCCAGGGCAGGGTCTCTGCTCCCAGTGCCAGACGAGCATTTGCTCAGGGCACGTGGAAGGTGAGCACTTCCTGAGCCCGGAGGAGCTCACGAGGAAGCCATGAGAGGACATCCGAAAGGCACCTGGGATTTGATGGCGAGGATTTTAACTGCCATGTGAACGGGGGTTGGACTTTTTATCTTGTAGTCATCTAATACATATATTCCTTTAAAAAAAAAAAAAGATGACAATTAAGGGGATCTCAACCCTTGACTTGGTGTTGTCAGCACCACGCTCTCCAAAGTGAGCTGACCAGCCATCCCTATATAGGGATCCGAACCCATGGCCTTGGTGTTATCAGCACCGCACTCTCCCGAGTGAGCCACGGGCCAGCCCTCATATATCCCTTTTTTAAAAATAAATTTTTCTGCTTACAAAGTAATATGTCTTCGCTGTAGATAATTTCGGACTAGATTTCACTTTTAGCCACTCTTAGCCAGACTCTGTGGCTAAGAGCATCCCTCCTGCTGAGGTCGACTAGAAAACCTAGACAAGATGTAGTTTTAAAAATCTGTTTGACAGTATTGCAGAGCCTGCAAGTCCATAGTGATTGTAAGGCCGAGACCTAGGAGGAGGAAACCAGGGAGGCAAGCCCAGCACCAGGGGGCACTTTCCCCAATCAGCTTTAGGGAGGCCAAGGAGCTGAGCAGAGCTCTTCACAGACACACGAGACTGAGGGACAGAAGCTGAAGTTCAGGGTTGATTTCCCACTAGAAGTAAAGACAACTGGAAACAGACCAACCATCATGAGCAATGAAGCCCAGCTACTAGTCAGTCTAATCCCTGACCAAGGTGACTGGGGGAGGCTAGTGCCTCTGGCATAGTGACCTGCCAGAAGTAAAGGTCAGTCCTCTGTGGGGGAAGATGACACCATCCAGAGCCTCCAGTTCTCTTTGCAGTTATATGTGATGTTCCCACTCAATCAGAAATAACCAGGCATAGGATGGGACAAGATATCACTGAAAATCAAGAAAAAAATGGACAAAAGAAACAGACCTTTAGGTGATCAAGATAATGGAGTTGTTAGACACAGATTTTAAAATAAAATAGTTAAGGAATTACAAGGCAAGATCAAAAAACTTGGCAGAGAACTTGAAACTACAAGAAGACCTCATGGAAATTCTAGAACTGAAAAATATAATTAAAAACTCAGGAGCTGGCTGGTTAGCTCAGTCAGTTAGTGTGGTGTTATAACACCAAGGTCAAGGGTCCAGATCCCCATACCAGCCAGCTGCCAAAAAAGAAAAAAAAAAGGACTCAGTGGATAGATTTAACAGAAGATGAGATGCAGCTGAAGAGAGAATTAGTGAAGAGGAAGATAAGCCAGGAAAAAATATCCAGATAAACCCAAAAGGTAATTCTTTGAAAAGAGTAAGAAAATTGATAAACCTCTGGTGAGACCAGTCAAAAACAAGAGAGAGGAAGAACAGATAATTTTTGATAATGTAAAAAGAATAAAATTAAAATTGCCTATACTTTTATCATTCAAATATAACTACCATTAATATTTTTGTATATTATAGTCTGGGTATGTGTGTATGTATGTACTTGTATATGAGTGTGTGTGTGTGTTTTAAAGAGGGTAGATAAGGGCCGGCCCAGTGGTGCACTGCTACAGTGCGACGCTTGGGAGCATGGTGGCGCTCCCGCCGAGGGTTCGGATCCCACATACAGACCGGTTCCC